CTTGCAACGGTTATCACTCTCTGGGAATCGGTTGTCTGTTTTGCCCGAAAAGGTGTTTGCTCCTTTGGAGAGCCTGCAACTCTTGGACCTGGGCCGCTTGGGTTTGCAAAAGGTGGAGTCAGACACGTTTGCCGGCTTGTCAAACTTGAGAATCTTGTCCCTCAGCCAAAATCGTTTGGCCGTGTTGCCAAAAAACTTGCTGCGCCCCATGCCAGCGCTGGAGCAATTATTACTGGGGGGTAAATCTGATGAGAAGGGCACACGGATCGTTGATGGAAACGAGCTGAGTGTGCTGTCTCAAGAGCTTTTGCAACACACCCCGCGGCTACAAGTTCTCGATCTGAGCGAAAACAGGTTGAGCTCACTGCCAAATGGCATCTTTGATAAGACTCCTTTGTTGCGGACCCTCGACCTTTCTTTCAATAAGCTGGCTGATTGGCCAGGCAAAATCTTTTCCGGGCTCGGCAAGTTGCAGAAGCTTGACCTGCGAAACAACAAACTCAGCGAGTTGCCTGCTGAAGTCTGGGCCAATCTGTTTTCAGGGCTCAGCAACTTGCAGATTCTCGACCTGAGGACCAACAAACTTAGTGAGTTGCCTGCTGAAGTCTTCTCAGGGCTCAGCAGCTTGCAGGAGCTTGTCTTGGCTTACAACAAGCTCCGTGCGTTGCCTGCTGAAGTGTTTGCAGGGCTCAGCAAATTGCAGAAGCTGTACTTGAGCGAAAACGATCTCAGCGAGTTGCCTGCTAACGTCTTTTCAGGGCTCAGCAAATTGCAGAAGCTGTACTTGAGCGAAAACGATCTCAGCGAGTTGCCTGCTAACGTCTTTTCAGGGCTCAGCAAGTTGCAGAAGCTGGACCTGAGAAATAACAAGCTCAGTGAGTTGCCTGCTGAAGTCTTTTCTGCGCTTGGCAACCTGCAACGGCTTTCTCTCTTTGGGAACAAGCTGAATGAATTGCCTCCTGAAGCCTTTGCCAACCTGTTTGCAGAGCTCAGTAACCTGCAGGTGCTCGACTTGGGACACAACCATCTCAGTGTGTTGCCTTCTCACGGCTTTGCAGGGCTCAGAAACCTGCAGGTGCTCAACTTGGGCAAGTGCAAGGTGCTCACCTCGGACGAGGACAAAGCCTCCTTGATTGACTCCTTCTATGTGGGTCGTTTTCTATATTGTTTGATTTACCTATTTAACACATTGGAGTCTCGGACAAACCAGATCAGCAAGTTGCCCGCTGAGTTCTTTTCCGGGCATGGCAACCTGCAGAAGGTTTACCTTGATTCAAACAAACTGGCCCAATTGCCTGCGAACATCTTTTCAAGCCTCAGCAGCTTGCAGATTCTCGACCTGCGTAGTAACGATCTCACTCACTTGCATGCTGAAGTCTTTGCAGGGCTCAGCAAGTTGCAGAAGCTCGACCTGGATGAAAACAAACTCAGTGAGCTGCCTGCTGAAGTCTTTTCAGGACTCAGCAACTTGCAGGAGCTTTACTTGTATCAAAACGAGCTCAGTGAGCTGCCTGCTGAAGCCTTTGCAGGGCTCAGCAACTTGCAGAAGCTCAACCTGAGGTCCAACAAACTCATCGAGTTGCCTGCTAACGTCTTTGCAGGGCTCAGCAAGTTGCAGAAGCTCGACCTGTGATACAACAAACTCAGCGAGTTGCCTGCTGAAGTTTGGGATGATGTTTTTTCAGGTCTCGACAACTTGCAGAAGTTGTACTTGAACGGAAACGATCTCAGCGAGTTGCCCGCAATTTGTTCAAGTATCGTCTGCTGATGAATCCCTGAGATATCCGGCTTAGATCGGCTTAGAGGATGTCCTTTCTGTTCGAAAATGGGTCGAGCTGCGGGGATCAGGTTCTAGTCGCACTCTTTCCACCAGGCTGCACGGGTTTCTGTTGACGACTCTGAGGTCCCGGAGCCGGTGTCCAAGCACCAAGGCCGAAACCGGGAGCACTTGAAGTATGTTCAAAATCAGCAAAGGAATCAGGGTTTTATGATAGTTTTATGGTTTTATCATGTTTTATCCAGGTTTCTGTCCTTGCCTGGTGATTTTTTGGAGTTTGGACTCGATTGCTGTGGGATGAGATGGGATGTCTTGCTGTTTTTTTGGCTGGCAACTACCGGAAAACTCCTTTTCATTCTTTGTAAGGTTCAACATACGCCCCTCCGGCAAGACAATCATTGGGTCTGTCGGGAGCGGAACAGAAATTGTTTGTTTTGAACCTGAAAGGAAGCTGCTGAGAGAGGTATAACAAAGTTTCCATCTGGCCAAACACAAGTCCCGACTCAACACCTTCCAGGCTATTTCGTTTTTTTTAAGATGAAGGCGTGCCCTGTCACTGACTGATTCTCGGAATTTCTGTTCCCTTGACCGAAACGTGTCTTTCTGCTGTTCGTGTCCAGCGGTGTTTCGAGTTCTCAGTGGCAATACACACCTGGTGCTCAGGCCACGACAGTCAGCGACCAGGCGCCGGAAAAGACTTTGGGCGCTGGGCGTCGCAATTTTCTGATGATTTTTTCGCGGTTCACACAGTGAAACAACACCACTTGAACCAAGAACATCAGAACTAAAATGAAATACGACCAATTGTTCGTGGCTTGGTGGGCGCACTTGCATTTTTGGCATTGTAGTGGCGGTCACAATATCATCATGCGGTTTTATAAAGACCATGGGCCGCCCACTGCGACATGGCATATGATCCACATCTTCGGCCATCAACAGGAACAATTAATTGTGAAAATCAGATCTTTTCCTTTGGATCGTTTAGTAGAGAAGGACCGTATATGAGTGAGTCTGGGTGGGCCTGTAGCTTTGCACTATAAAAGCCCTACAGGTGATCATAGCACGGAATGCGAATGGGGTTCCGATATTTTGATCATTGGCTGGGCACCCAAGAACCAATGCTCGGGGATACTGCCTTCGATATCAATTGATATCATATCTTCATTGATATTTATAAATCAATGATAAATATAAATAAAGTTCAATAAACATATTGTCTGGTTGAACTCACCCTGATTCTGTGCAGTCCTTCTTGGAATCGCCCTGGGTTGCGCAGTTTGTGGGCACCTGGCTACCTGGTTTTTCTCGGCAGGTCACGTCACCTATTCGGGTTCTCCACGTGGCGGACGATGCCAGGCCTGAGAGACGATGCGCGAGAGTCGTAATGAGGACATGACCAGGGGTTGAGCTGACACGAGTTGACATGAGTTGATTTTCATGATGAAAACAGTGAGATTGTTATGGATTGTGGCTTTTCAGTGTCAGCAAATGTTGGAAACATCTAGAAAATTCAGTGATCTTTCCATACCATTTTACCCTACGGTATACAGTATGCTCGAGAGAGTGTGGAAAGGCCAGCTGTACGAAGCGAGACACAACGCTTTGCACTTTCCGTTGAATATATCCAAGTCGTAGGGATCTCTCAAATTTGTCAAAAACATGCCGGAGATTTCAGCTCCACGTCCTCAGCTCCACGTCCAAGTTGGACAGCGAGGCAGGGAGTGGAGCTGGAGCCGATAGAAATACCGGTGTCAAGGGAGAAGTTTCCGCGGAGCTTTCGGATTTCCGTTGTGTTTTTTTAACAAATTTGAGGCCTTTCAAATATGTTGAATAACAAGTGATTGGAATCTGTTTTGTCTCAGAAAAGTGATAGAAGTTGGGTCCAGTGGGTGTACCTAGTGCCTGAAATGTTGATCCTAGCAGGTGGCACGTCCAATCAACATGTACCCGGTAGGTATAGTTCAATTTGGTGATCGGAAATCCTTCTTTTACAGTTGATGTCCCTGTACTGAAAATTGGGTTTTCATTGCCAGGTTTGATTGGAGGGCAAAGAAGTTCAAAGTTCATCAAAGTTCACTGTTTACCTTTCCTCAGTTCGGTTTGAGTCGTGACACCACTTATCCGTTGCCCCCACTTGGCGTTGCAACCTTGTCCGGTACCACCCGGCAGCATGGACATTCGGTGCATCTTGCCACCATGATGCATGCCATCTGAGGACGCCACCTCGTTGTCGCACTATGTTGGAACAGAGTTGTTAGAAGGATCCTTTAGGATCCTTCAGGGTTCGGCAAAACAAAGTTGATCCACGATATGCATTAGGCTTGATTAGGCTTGATTAGGCTTGATTAGGCTTGACAGCTGCAGGACTTCCTTGCAGAGGTCCTGGAAGAGCTCGGAAACCAAGCGTTGAAGAGACGTGTGGGTCATGTTTACTGTGTTGGTTCTTGTGGAGGTGTTGCAGATTCTGTGTCTCCGCTCTCAAGACGGACCTGTATCACAGCATTCGGTGACATTCACCTCGAGATGAAACGGCCAGCCAAGCACATTGAGAACAGAGCAGCCAAATCTCATGTTGCGTAAGAGAAAGTGAGAAAGTATGAGAAAGTATTTGATAAACCATGGACAAATCTGTGTATTGTTACAGACTGCACTGAATTCGTGCCGCTGGACAGCGCAAAGGACTCGCTGCCTCATGTCGGTTTCTGTGGATATTCCTGGACATGGTGACTTTGATATCAAACTGACTGCTTCGAGCACCGCTGCTGACATTATTTCACTGCTACGTGAGCGTTTGCCAGACAGTCCATGGCATGGGAACAAGGTGCTTTCAAGTGGGGTCTGCCAGCTGCAGTGCGATGACATTGTGGAGGCAACCCACCGCAGCACTTTAGTCTTGACAAACTACTCAGAGATCACCAACCAGGAGACAAATGTGGATCCGTGTTCCTTTTTTTGGCAAAAAGGCGATATAACCAATAGGATCAAATAGAATAAAGAGAAAGTGTATTTAGAAGTCAATCTGTTGAATTTCAGAGATTGCAGGCCCATTATTCCACCTTTGAAGGTACTTCATAATGCTTCAATTGAATTCCATTCCAATTTCATTTGCTGCATTTGTTGGTGCGCCCCACACACGTCGGAGGAGGCTTTCTGCATCAAAGATACTGCAGAGCGAGGGATCACGCGTGAGCAATTGGCAAAGATCGTTGTTTTCATCTCCAAGATGGCTGACAGATGGTGCGAGACTTTCGGAGAACAGCGTGGGACAAGGCTGCAGTTTGAGACCTTCAACTTGTATCATGCGAATCATTGGATCATCAAACCAGCCACCGAAGCCTGGATCTGTTGATGATGTGACAAAACATTTTCCAATTTGAAGAATCTACCGTTTTTCTTTTTTTAATTGGCCCCATTATGCAGAATCCCAGGACGGCTATGCGAAAAAGGGCTGCAGCATGGTAGAGCTCATGGCGATTCAAGTGCAGAGACCTCATTGGTTTGTGTCACATGCTTGGATCGAGCCTTGGATAGGCAAACTCTCAAGGTTGCTTGAGACCGTGCTATTGCATTTTGTCTGTCAGCAACAAGTTACTTTTCCGCTAATAATTCACATTCCACTAGAAGCCTTGGTTGAGTTTTGGACTTGTTCATTTCGGACCCTCAATAGGATGCTGTATCAAAAAGAAATGAACCTCCAGCGTAATGATAGATGAAAGTCAATCTATTGCTTTGAAGCACGTCCAATTTTGTGTTGGACAGATCTGTGAGGAGCCTGTTTGTAAGTTTCTGGCCTGCTTGGAGCAGCATGCTCTGGTGCGAGAACTCTCAAGCAGTACATTCTATTGGGTCTGTGCATATGCCAATAACCAGCACTGCGTGGAAGAGGATATCAAAAGCAACCCACGCAGCACTTCATTCTACAGAGCTATGCAGATGTCTGAGGGAGTTCTTTTGGTGCTGGATTCAGCTGGAACGCCTTTCGAAAGGATTTGGTGCTGCTTCGAGGAAGCCATGGCCGCAGCCTTAGAAATTCCTAGAAGTGCGAGAAAGCATCATAGAACGAGAAAAATGTGACATGAACGTGAGTTTTTTTCGTGAGTTCTGCCTGAAGGGACACGTTTTGATTTGTCCAGCTAGCAGCTAGCTTGTTTCAGTGCAAAATGCGAAACACAACCAAACAGCATAATCGCTTGGTTGATTTGCATACATGTGAATGGGGGATAACGAGCAGGAGCAACACCAGGTCATGTTCGTAAAGGCAGGCAATGCTTCAGTAGATAGTGGATCGAAGGAGACACTGGTGTAAACAATTCCGGAATTTTCACCCTAAAAGCGACCAAGGCGATCGAACATCGAGAGGGCAACTGGTCCAGACGACGTTTGCTGCTTGATGTGGGAGCCACTGATGCATATGACAAAGCTACTCGACACAGAAGTGGTGTCCTTGTGTGGACATTTCCTTTGCGTGGTCTGCTCGAAAGGTTGAGACCATGGCCTTTACCGTAACCCCCATTTCTGTACCATGGTGAACCGTTTCACATCACCTTACTGTAAGCCTGCCTTTCCATATATCGTTACAAAGAGGTGATAAGTGATAAGTGATGTTTTGCCCCTTCCAAACTTGTTGATCTCTGAGGCTCACGTGCTTACTGATGGACTTGCTGGAGCAGAAAGTCGAATGATTGGCATCATCGGCTTGCACCACAAAGCAGCTCGTGAGCGTCACTTTCCCCTGGACCTTTTGGAAAAGGGCTTGAAGGTAAAGATTGAAGAAACTTGGTGCGGGATTGCAAGAAACCTCTACTGTTTTGATGTTGTTTGGAGAACCATTTTATCCATTTGGACGATCGATTGAATGGACAAGGTCCATGGTCCATTGTTCATATTGTTCCATTTGCATTGTATGAATGTCACCTCGCAAAAATGGCTCATTCTAATTCTAAGTTCTCTCTTTTTCCAGAAGGTGAGCGAGCCATATAATCATGAGTTTGAATGTTGGACAGCTCAAGGAAGCTCATGCAACGCAGAACATCGACAAAGTTCGTATACTGAACAGCATAGCTCTTTCTCGTCTTGGAACTTGTGACTTTGAGCTTTTGCAGTCGTACCCCGCTGGGGATCCGAATTTCCAGCGAGTAGACGAAGCTCTTGCTTCGCACTTCGCCTTATCCAGCTGGTACGGATTTGTCCTTCAAGGAAGATGCACTGAACTCCTGGCCAGAGCTGTAAAGGCAGATGTTGGTAGAAAGATAGTGCAGCTTTCACTGACTGGGTGCCGGAATTTCTCTGACCATGAGCTTGACGTGCTGATCGAAAGCCTTCCTGCAGAGTTGCGTGTTTTGCGATTGGATCTGGGATTCTCGGGTCTTGAGACTCTGGATATGTTTACATCGACGGTGCAGTGTTTGAAGTCTTTGGTCCAGTTGAAGTTGCGCTTCACGGGTTCCTCGCACTTCAGGACTGCGGCAGGGCTTGGAGTTGCCCTGAGGGAGATGGAGAACCTCATGTACCTCGAGCTATGGTGCGCTGAGTTGTGAATTTCCAGTCACATTTTTCTTCATCTTGAACCAGCAAAAAATATGATTTTCAGCTTATTGTTTGCTGCGCTTTCTTTTTGATTCCATGGACATGATATTGTTGTTTTGTTTTTTTCTCAGCTGCCACGGTCCAGTGGCTGCAGGTTCATGAACTTGCCATGTTTGGAAGAATTCGGATGCTTCAGTTCAGCTTTGCAGTCGTTGCGAAACTTGGAGAATATAGTTATTGATCTCAGTGGATGTGGCCAGGTGTCGATTGATGCGAGGATGGAACTCCACCAATCCATCAAGTCACTGAAATGGTTGCGAGGCGGCTTGGACACGTGGGTGAATATTGAAGGTTTGCCAAAGCGAGAATGGTTCCCTGGATTTGCTCATGTTGATTTTGGCGGTGTTGTCAAAGGGCGTTGCGCCCGGAGCTTCCGTTTCATCTGGCAACGCATGCGACAACTCAGCGCCCGCCAGCTGCCACACGTCAGCTCAGTGTACTTTGAACCAACCAGGTTTGGCAGGTCCAGCGCCACAAGCAGTGATGAATCAGCAGGAGAAGATGCAGAGACAGAGACTCACAGCACTCAACAGGAGATGTTTGATGAAAACAAACCGTTCCCATGCAGCCATCCTTCATGTCATTCTTTTCATTCTTCTGAGAGCGGTTATTGCGAAAGGCACCACTGGGTGGGCCTTGGCAAAAGGATTTGCGTTGCGGTAAATGGTTGGCGCCATAATGTGGAGCTTAGTGTGCTGGTTCTTGCACAAGCAGTGGCAGAGGTAGAGAGCCGATTTCTGTTGGTTCTGCTGGTTCTCAGCCTGTTGCCTGTGGCAAGTTATGCCTTTTCTCAGTCAACAGGAGTGTCTGGCACGTTGATTTTTCTGATTGTTATCTCAATTGCAATTGTCAGCATTGTTTACACCACAGCTCGGCTCAACAGAATGCAAACACTGTCAAGGAAGCTTGAAGTTGAATCGGAAGCTTTGTATGCAAAGAATTTGCAGAATGACATGTCCAGGCTTTTTGGTGATTGGGGCAGAGACGATATTGCCCAGCCTCAAGTCACAAGCTTGACGGAACACTTCGTCGAAGCCAGAAAGCATGTTGATGACTTCGACAAGAATCTGTGCCTTCCACTGCGAGAGTTCTTGGAGGAGCAGCCTGGTTCCATATCTCGGCAAGCTTTGCGGCCCGTACTGATGACACTGCCGATGGCACAAGAGGCTGTCGTGCGAGAAGGTGGATGGGACAAAATCTTAGATCTCTTGTATTGCGATGTAATCTTCGATGATTGGGAAAGAATGCTCAGTGCGTGGTGCTTTCTCAAAACCAGAGCAGAGCATGATGAGTTGCGAGAAATAGAGATTGTGCGTACTCGCGATTCTTTTGCTTCAGTCCAAGCTGGTGTCAGATGTGCCGAGATGGTGGTCAAGATCAACCACTATTTAGCCACGATCCGTTTCCGTGAAGCCTCCTTGACAAAGCTGGAAAATCAAGTGGATGATGTGCACCACTTGGCAGAACAGGTGGGACTTCTGGCAGGCAGTTTGCAGGTAGATCCTTTGCTTATGTCTGGGCGACCAGCGCAGCAATCACGATTAGTAGTCGTTGTTGTTGCTTTGCTTCGGATCAGCTCATTACTTGCAGCAGTGTACTTTGGGGGGCAATACTTTGTGCGGTATAGTTCACCTTTCATCCGTTCCAAGCTTCCACAATTGATCCGAGATGCATTTGCTCTCAAGCAAACAGTTGAGCCCAGTGATGGGAGTTTGTCGGAGGTTACCACTTCTGATTCTGGATGGTTGGAGGAGAGCCTTTCGCAGCTGTTGCCCTCCATTGTTTTCTCTTTGCCATACCTGGCCTTGATCATCGTCCTCCTGAGCGACTTGCGCCAGTGTCGGTCAGCCAATATCAAGTTGAGACCGCTGAAACCCACCCAGCTGCTCTATGAGGAATATTTTGGCATTGAAGGCAAGCTCTACGGCTTCAAAGTTGCAATGCTGCAGTTATTCACAGTGATGCTACAGGCCTTTGGAAAGCTCCAAATCATGGGTGGCCTTGTGTCCTTCGCATTCCATTCAGCTCCGAAGCATTCAGATGCGTTTGAAGGATGTTTTTGGGCTTTTGTGGGTTTCCTATGTCTGAACAGCATCTATCCAACCATTTTGTTGGGTTTACCCACTGTGAAGTGGGTGCGCCGTGGCGCTGCAATGATGGATGCGGTTCTCGATATTGCCTACACCAGCACGTACCTCATCATCACCTTGCTGGCCATCTATGAGCTACAGCTGGGCCAAGCCATTTCAGGAAATTTTGGGGATGAGGCTTCGGTGAACTTCCAAGCAGAATTGGACCCGGCATTTGCATTCCCAGCCCATTTTTTTTGTTTCTTTGCTGTTTATTATTCACTTGCACATGTTTGCACTGTTTGCCGTGCCTTAGAGCGAAGCGATCGATCGACATACCGGAAGAAGTTGCAAAGCTTACCGAGCTCTGCTTCCTGGTCACTGAGCTCATCGAGATTTTCTTGCTCAAAGAGATATCGGATTTGTTGCAAAGCCTTGCATTTTTGCTGCATTGGTTTCGATTTATGTTGTGTCAACATTTCCAAACCATGGTGGTTATGTAACCTGTTGTCATTGTATTTACATGTCGAGTAAACATGTTGGTGCAGAGAAGGCCTGTTATTTTTCCAGCTTTGTCTTTTTGCTGAACATGCTGAACATTTGTTTTGGGACTGAAAGCATGCGCCACTTATGACGTTCTTGTCCCCAAACAGGGTTCCAAAGGTTTCCTGCAGGT